TGTCTCGCCCCCTCCCTCCCTTCCTTTAGTCATCCATGTCTGCTTACTGAGCATTTGCTCTGTGTCAGGCACCCGGAGCCTACAGATGCACAGGCAGCAGCAATATGTTGGAGCACATGTAGCATTTGGGGCAAGGGGGAGAGATGTCGGGATGTGCTGGAAAGAAGTGACATCTCATGAGACTTGAAGGATGAGCAAGAACTCTTCAGGAGAAGGGTTTATTTATGGAGCAGAGTGATCCTGGCTGAGAAATTGCCCGTGTGAAGCCCCGTGGCCAGAGAGAGCAAGGCTAGGTCCCGGAGAAGGCTTTAAGGAGAATGGAGGAGGGAAAAGATATCTCAAATGCTGGGTAGAGGAGCTGGGCCTTCGGCTGGAGGACTGCGGCGAGTGGGACCCATGGGAGAGAGGAATTAAGCTTGTCCTCTAGATGCTTTGGCGGGCATGGGAGACTAATTGAAGGGCATTATGGGTGGAGGCCGAAGTAGCTACTGGACCGAGTGGTGGTCGTGGGGCTGGAATGGCAAGCTTGGGTGATTGGTGGGATGAGGGCGGCTTGGACCAAGCACTGAGGTGGCATGACCTGGCCTCCTGAAGTCAGCCCTGGAGCAGAGCAATGGCATGTGAAGGGGATTGGGGCACTACCAGTGGGCTGCCCCCCTGAATAACAGGGGACACAGTCTCCCAGGGCAGCTTCCAGGTTCTGGCCAATGGTTCTCAGTGCAGGACCCTCCAAGAGCCCAGCCCACATGCCAGTCCTTCCCTGGGGCTGTCCCTACCTCTCAGGAAACAGCTTGAGGTTGCTGGTCACCTTTTGCCGCACTTTCTATGGTCTCAGCAGAACATGGAGCCAGCCTGCCTGAGTGTAAATCCTGCCACAGACTAGTCGTGTGAACTTGAGAGATTTCATAACATCTTTATGCCTCATTTTCTCAATTTGTAAAATAGATCTAAAACTGGCACCTAGCTCATGGGATTATTGTGGACAGTAAATAAGTTAATGTGTTTAAAGTACTTGGAATAGTGCCAGCACAGAGTAAGTAGTCTCTAAAAGTTACCGATCACTTTCATTATTACTATTACTATTGTGACATCCCACAGGACCATATGCTCCTTGGGGCCGTGGGTGAATGAATGGATGAATGGCATATGCTCTGAAAGCTTCTTGCCCTCACTCACATGCAGAGGCTCTCCAAGGCAAAGCAGAAGGCAGAGCAGGGAGTGGCCGAGGGTTGGGTAGGTGTGTAATGTGCATGAGCACCTAAGGAGGAGGACCGGGGTCGTCGGGCAAGTCTGTGTGTGTGTGCTTGTGCACAGGCACGTGGGCCCCTGCACACACACACGTGAGCAACCAGCTGTGTTGGCTCCTTCCACAGGCTGAGGGGGTGATGTCCGGTCCTAGCCAGCTGGGAGGAGGAGGGTGTCAGGGAGACAGAGTGGTGTGGGTTGGGAGGATAAGATTCAGAGGTAGGGCAGGCTCCTCTCTATCCTTTGCCCTGTCCTCCTTTGGGAACTCTGCCTCTGACCCTGGCTCTGAACTTCTATTTATAAAGCCTTCTCATTTCTGTTTCTCTCTTGATGCTCACAGCAGCCTGTGCCATAGGCATGATTGACATCCCCATTTTAGTGATGAGGAAACTGAGGCTTAGAGAGGGAAATTGATAGGTCTAAGGTCATACAGCTTGTGGATATAGTGTCTCCTCCCTGACCCCACTTCTGGCTGGGTGCTCCCTTCCTGACCGCTCCCCAGGCCTTGGGCCCCATCATTTAGGTACCCTCCTGTCTCAGTGGCAGGATTGTGATGCCTGCAGATGCCCAGCATCTCTTTCCAGGCCGGCTGAGATCCTCCACTTGCTCTACACATGCTCCTTTCCTGTCCTGGCTCCTGCCCAGGCCCAAGGGCTGCTTGCAGAAGGACCTGGGGAGCTGGGCAGATCAGCCCAGCACAAACAGTTCTGTCTCCAGAAGCAGCTATGGGCCTCACCCGAGGAGAGCAATGCAGCCCTGGCTTGGGATCTGGGCCAAGGGCAGGCTGTCTTCCTGGCACTGGGCTCAGATCTATCTCAACCAGTGGGCATCTTGGGCAAGGGGTCTGGAGACCACCCTTCTCCGCATCTTCTCTAGAGCATCTGGTTGTGATTAGAGGCAGAGAAGTGAGAGGGGGCCGGCAAAGGTCCAGCAGGCATCAGCAGCCAAGAATGACTTAATTGGATAAAATGTCTAATGACAAACCAGAGTCCCACAGCAGAGTCCTGGCCCCAGCCCCAGGCCTGGTCCTGGCCAAACCTTGTCTCAACTCCTGCGCTTACTAGCTCCCAAGTTACTTCTAGTATCGTGTCCTCAATTATGCAGTGATTGAGCATCTACTGTTTGCTAGGCACCGAAGATACTCATTTACAGAAAGTGAGAGAATCCTGGGGGTACCAGAGAGACAAGCACATAGTCACACCACCAGTGGATGCTCTGGGAAAGAGAGCTACATCCAGGAGCTCTGGGGAGTGGGTGGGGACAGGCAGAGGTAGAGAAAGGCATTTGACACAGGGTGGGCCTGAAATTGATGACAATCAAAAGGGAATATTAGATCCACCTATCTGGTGATCTGTGTCCCATACACATGTGCAGAGTGGGGTGACAATTAGAGTGACAATATAAGACACGTCTTTGGGGGCACACATCTTTCTGAAATGGAAAAGCATGGTTTCTATGTCATTTAGAACACATTTAATGATCTAGGGAGAACTGGAGAGAACATTGAGTCTAGGAATAGCTGCTACATGGCCTGTGTACCGCCACTTTCCAACCCTGTGCCCATGGCAGACATTGCTAATTGATCGTAACAGTCTTTCCTGCTAAACCCAAAGAGAGCCTCAGAATTCTCCATCAGCGTGCTCCTGGCTGTTGCTAACTGATTGGAGATGGTTTTTGAGATGAAACCGATTTGCCATGCTTGACAGTGTCTAGGCTCCTTGTTTCATGGGGAAAATGACTTGCCCAAGGTGTTGGAAGGTAGCAATGAGATTAAATCATGGCCCCCACTATAGAGACATCTACTGTCACAACCTGGGAGGAGATGGCATTTAGTGCATAGAGGCCAGGGATGCTGCTAGACACGTTACAATGCCCAGGAATAGCCCCCCACAACAAAGAATTATTCAGTCCAAAATGTCAATAGTGCCAAGGGTGAGAGACCCTGAACTAAAAGAACTCTGCTTTCTGGATTCTAGTCCCTGGAGTTCCCTGGAAGGTGAGATTATGTGCCATTTTTGGCAGACAAATAAGGAACTGGTTTGGAAGTTTCCAGAGCCGTGGTTCTCATGCTGTTCTGCAGTGTTATGTTCAGGGCTTCTTAAAAGCTCTGCCGGGATCATTTATGAATCCTAATATTCAGGCTACACTGTGGACCAATTACATCACAGTCTCTGGGGTAAGACCCAGACAGCAGGCATCTTTAAAGCTCTCCAGATGATTCCAGTGTAAAGCTGAGGCTGAGATTAATCACTATTTTGGAGGCAGATCTACCTGGGTTTGAAACTTATTTCCATCTTGAACTCGCCATGTGACCTTCTTTAACCTCTGTGAGCTGCTGTCTGAAATGCAGGGCGTGATCATATCTACTGGGGAGGGCAGCGGTGAGGGCTAAAGGTGTTATATGAGCCAAGTGCATGGAGTGGAGCTGGGTACAGTGCATGGGGCCGTGCATGTTGGTTGTTTCCTGCCTGGCAGTGTTCCCAAAGGCAATGGTGGCACGGGGTCGGGGCCTCTGCAAAGTAAGTGAACTGGTCCCACTCTGGGACCTTCACTCTGGACTCCCAGGACTCAGCTTTCTGTCCCCTTCTCCCAGGTCAGGATGCAGGCCAAGGCTCTGGATGGGCCACCAAGAAGACCATTCAGGGTTGGAACCGGAGAGCCCGAGAGAGCCCCGGGCAGGTGATGGAGGCGGACAGGACCCAGCTGAGCGAGGACCAAGGTGGGGGCACCTTGGCGATTGACACACTGCCGGATAACGGGACCAGGGTGGTGGTGAGTGATGTAGGAGCATGGATGGGGAGAGAAGTGCTGGGGCGGGGTGCCCAGGTGCCCCATGTACCCATGTATCACCTACCTTTGGGGCTGGCCCGGAGGTCAGTGTGGAGAGAGGGGTCTGGAGGAGATGGAAGCAGGCCCCAACCTGGGTATCAAACCTTGGCATCCCAGAGCTTCATAGGTTGCCCATCTCCTCGTGGACCCAGAGAGGTAAAGTGATTTGCTCAAAGATGCACAGCATGTCCACAAGATTCCTGACACTGAATTCTTTCACTGTGTAGGGCCTCCGCTAAAAGCTGAATGAAGGTGACATTCTTAGTCACATCCAGCTGCTAGCTCTGGCCCCTCCCCCACCTCGTTTCTGTGCCACCTACATTCTGTGTGGCCCCAAAAGGTTTATGGCTGCAGAGGCTTAGGCTGCACAGCCTCATGGCAGGGCACTCTGAATAGAGGAAGCAATTAGAGTGAAGTCCCAGGAGAGACCCTCCTCTGCTTGGGGCAGCACTGGGGTGGGTGGTGCAGGGAAGCGAAGGGGATCAAGGTGGAGAAGAAGTGCTGTCCTCACAGTGTCTGGCCCTGCTCTCCCGCTGACTTCCTGGGAGGCTGATGGGGCCTCTGCATGTGTGTAGTTGAATCTATAATCATGAGCGCATGTCGGCGAGCGTGTGTTTGCACACGTGTCTGAGGGTTGGGTGTATTATGTACGTCTGCCTGTGTGCCTGTCACCGTGGGCTGTTTGTGAGTGTCTGTGATAAGTGTGCGTGTGTGAGAGAGACCGTGTGAATGTGAGTGTATCTGTGGCCCTGTTTGTACACGCCTATGGTTGACAGTGAAGAGGGTGGATTCTCAAGATGCAGAAAGACTATGAAACAAGAAGAAACAAGAGGATGTGCTTCTTGGTATATATATTTTTTATTTTATGTTTTAATAATGATTTTTTTAACTCAAAAAGAAATGCATGCAGGTAGCCAAAAAAGTCAAATAATGCTAAAATTAGAAAACAAAATATAGCAGTCCCAGCTGGCCAGGCTCCTCTGGACCCTTGCTCAGAGGCACGTGTTTCTGTTGGCGGTTACTTCCACATTTCTAAGTAATTTGCTTATACTACTGCCTCTTGGTTAATCCATTTAGACATTATCTGTTGACTGCCCATTTTATAGATGAAGATTTGTCTTTTACATACTCTCCTGAGTGTCATTTTACTCTCTCAATATTTTTGTTACATTCACATGCTCTGTTTATATCATGTAAATACTGTTCACCATTAAGCCAAGCAGGGCGATAGCACTGTTTGCTTTCTTATATAATTTTTATTTTTCCTGGATCCTTGCCCCCCACCACCACTTGCTTAGTCTTTTGTACTCACTACAGTTATATATTCTTACACATCCATTGGCCTCGTTAAAAAAAGAGACAATATCAGACCTAACATGGAGTCATTTGTTCTAAGTCCATGGCACGAAATACCTAACTTAGCTGCAGTTTCCACTTTTCCCAGGAATGGAACCTTAAAGCAGTCAATCTGGAATTACCTGGTCAGCACTAGTGAGGTAACCTGCCTGAAAGACCCTTGTCATCCCCTGAAAGAAGGTGACCTTGCCACAATCCACTCTTTGCTAGAAGTTTCCCTCTATCTGCTAGATGGGATGCTGCCCAATTCATGGATCCTTCAACAGAGTCAATAAGATCTTGATCAATTCACTCAGTTGAATTTTGTGGTTTAACAGCCTCAAATATAATTTTCAGTGTAGTCAAACCCGTCAGTTCTTCCCGCCCCACCGTCCTGGAAACCTCTCCTGCTGTCTTGCTCCAGCCTGGACTGGCTGCTCGCCCGCCTGCTTCGCAGCCATCCTGGGACCTCCTTCTCCCTCATCATTGGGACCCCTTGTTTCTCTCCTGCGTTGGGCATCCTGTTCTCTTGACCCTGTGTCTTCTCTTTCCTGCTTCTCTCCCTTGTTTGTTTAACTTCCTGAGAAAGGTCACACAGGAGAAAAAAGTCTTTTGAGAGCTTGCATGTCTGAAAATGCCTTTATTCTACCCTTATACTTGATCGATGGTTTGGCTGAATATAGAATTCTAGATTAAAAATAATTTTCCTGCAGAAGTTTGCAGGCACCTACCTCATCATTGTCTTCTGGCTTCTGATGTCACTGTTGAGAGGTTTGATGTCGTGCTTATGCCCCATCTTTGTATATGCCTATTCCCCCCCACCTCTGAAAGCTTTTGGGGTGTTTCCTGTCACCTCTGAGATGAGGGCCATGCTCTGGCTCCTCTCTTACCATGCTGGACATTCGATGGATGGTTTCAACCTAGAGACTTGTAGTCCGGAAAGTTTTCCTGTTTCAGTTCTTTGATAATCTTTTCTTTATCATATTCTCTTCTTTCTACGGTTCTCTTGATTTGATGTTCATCTCTGGGAGTGATCCTTGAACTTTCTTCTCTCTTCCATTGTCCGTCCTCACCTTTTGCATTTTTTGTTCTTCATTTGTTAGTTTGCTTATTATTGTTCCACTTTCTGGGAGATTTCTTCAGCCTTATTTTCTTAATGTTATTGATTTTTTTTCTCCTATCTATTTTTAATTTTTATTTTCTGATTATTTCTTTGTTTAAAGTCCCGTTCTTGTGTCATAGATGTAATATCTTCTCTCTAAAGATATTAAAATTTTAAAATATTTTTTCTTGCTTCTTTCTTTCTTTCTTTCTTTCTTTCTTTCTTTCTTTCTTTCTGTCTTTCTTTCTTTCTTTCTTTCTGTCTTTCTTTCTTTCTCTCTCTCTCTCTCTCTCTCTCTCTGTCTCTCCCTCCCTCCCTCCCTCCCTTGCTTCCTTTCTTTTACTGGGGGATTGTTTAATGCAGGGACAGTTTACACAGGAGTGGGCAGGGTGAAGGAAGACAGCGAGGGATGGTGAAGCACTTTAGGAATAGCGACAGCATGGAGTAGCTAAGACAGCTACACTTGAGCTGGTCTGTAGGGTGGTTACCCAAACCAGCAAGAGCTGTGACTGCCTCTTTGAGCTAGACAAGAGCTGTAGCAACAGAGGTGAGAGAGGGGCCGGTGACAGCCCGCAGCCTGGTAGGGAGGGAGCACGGTAATAAATGCTCTGAACTCTCCTCCTTTTTTCATAATTTCTATGATGGAATTTTCCTTTTACCTCATGCTCTGACATGGCTTAACAGCATTACTGATCCTGTCTTTATTTCAAATTTTGATATTTTATTCATCATGGATTTTTCTGCATTTTGATTTTTAAAAGTATGGCATTAAAATAGTCTCTATCTTGATGACCAAGTTTGTTGGTGCCATCTTAAATGTTGTACCTGAGGTCAGTGCCTCACTTGCCTCACCCTAATCTTGGCCATGAGGTAGAACCCCATCTCACACTCACCCGGCCCCACTAGCTTCCCATTCTGCTCTGTCTTCTTCATCCTGCAGAACCAAAGAGCTATAGTGGGATGATGGAGTAGAAGGTCATGGCAGGAGAGGTCGCCTGAGTAAAGGGACACCTGGAAGCTCACCCTTTCCTATCTCTAGCTTTGTCGGGCTATTGGTTAAAGAACTAATGCTTGCTTTGGGCCAGACACCATGCCCAGAGGGCCGCGTCCCAGTCTGTGCAGAGAAGACTTTGCAGAAGAGAGCCACAGAGACTTCTGGAAGCAATTGTCTGTGGGCGTTCAGGAAGGGCAATGGGATCATTAAGAGCCAGCATGGATTCAATAACCCCAGAGCTTAAAAAACCACACAAATTCTTGGGCTCCACCCTGGACTGACTGGTTCAGAAACACTGGAGATGGAGCCTGGGAACTCGTTTCTTTAAAAGCTGCCCCCTGCGATTCTGATGGTCATCTAGGTGTGGGAACCTCTGACATGTAACTTTTCAAACCAATTTCAAAATCGGTTGAGATTGATCACCAGAACGTGAGACTTTCTCAGGCACCACATGGCTGTACTTGATTACAAGACTTCCTCCACCCTGGGGCTTTCTGGCTCCCTCAGCAGCCACACATCAAGAGGCTATTTGGAGGAGCAAGGCCACCCTGACAGGAGGGTGACTGTTGCAGGGGCTGCATACAGCTTTGCGCAGAAGTTAGGAGGCTCAGACTTCCAGATCAGATGTCTACCTTAGCTGGAAGAGTTCAGATGTCAGGTCAGGAACTGGAAGACCTCCTCGGCAGGCTGAATGATAGTTGGCCTCCCACCAGATGAAACTACCGGGATAAATATGAATCTTGGCACTTAAGTTTAAAATAAAGTGGGAGAGATGGGGCTTAGCGGCCGTTCAGGAGGAAAAGACCTGGGGCTCCTCATTGCCTGTGGGCTGGGGATGAGTCAGGAGTGAGACGTGCTGCCAACGAGAGAGGTGGCAAAGCCCGCTATGTTAATGGAAACACATGGAAATCCTGGGACCAGGGCTGGGACTCGGGATCCTGCAGGGTATTTCTCTGCCTGACCAGAGGTGAGGGGCTTATGCCTCTCTTTTATTATTGATTGATTGATTGATTGATTGGTATTATTTTATATTAGTTTCTGATGTACAGCATAATGGTTAGACATTTATATAATTTACGATGTGATCCCTCACTTAGTGTAGTACCTGGCACTATATAGTTATGATATTATTGATTGTATTCCCTGTGCTGTATTTTATAACATAATAGTTAGACATTTATATAATTTACGATATGATCCCTCAATTAGTGTAGTACCTGGCACTATATAGTTATTATAATATTATTGATTGTATTCCCTGTGCTGTATTTTATATCCCCATGACTATTTTGTAACTACCAATTTGTACTTCTTAATCCCTTCACCTTTTTCACCCAGCCCCCCAATCTCCTCTCATTTAGCAATCACCAGTTTGCTCCCGTCTAGCAATCACTAGTATCTATGAGTCTGTTTTTGTTTTGTTTGTTTATTTTGTTCTTGAAATTCCACATATAAGTGAAATCATATGGTATTTGTCTTTCTCTGTCTGACTTATTTCACTTAGCATAATAC